TAAAGTGCTATAAATAGCACACAGATGTTGTAATAGAACACCCAAGAAGACTTATACATAAACTGCAACAAAGAATAATGGTCTGACAAACACTAAGAATGGAGGTGTCATTCCCAAGCATTTACTACTTGTTTTAACCATATGATGTACATCTAGGGAATGATTCAGATAAACATGACGGATGCATATAAGTAATAGACAAAATAGTCATGGGGAAGGAAATTTCTAACTCATTGTGCAAAGAAGTCATCTCAAATAAGAGCATACCCGATATAAACACGCACCACTTCTGGAGTATTTAGAACTTTCCCAAGTGACCACATCAAGGCTCCATAAACTCTCATTAACTAAATGTGTGAAAGGAAAAAAAAATGTAAATTAGATTTTTTTTTTTTTTGACAAAAAAGATTAGTTGAACTCATTACCTGTTGAGTATCAACTTGGTCTGCTTTGTTCAAAACAACACGTATCTTATCATCATTGCCACGCAAAGATGCAATTACTCGCTTGAATTCATCACTGATATCAAGTTTATGGGGATCAAATAAAAGAAGAATCATATCACATTTAGCTGCAAACCATGAAATCACGCCCGTGAAATCATAGCTCCTCTGTGTTCTCTGTTTTTCTCCTGACAGAACCCCGGGAGTGTCCACAAAAGTAATTTGATCCAACAGCTGCAAACATAAAAAGGTTGATTATAATAACAATGAATTAGATAACAAACTTGGCTATAATAACACAACTCTGCAGAAGTCCTCACTGGATGTGGCATTTGGGAACACTCAAATTTTGATAAAAATGCTCCTCCAAAAGTTGTCAGGCCTTTGAATGGCATATCAGCATGAACAGCAATAGTGTTTCCAGGTATTGTCCTTTCATCAGGTCCAGACTGATGAAGAAATCACAAAATTGAACACTCATGTAAATAAAAAGAAAAGTATCACAGAAATTGTTTTGTTATTTAAATTTCGTATAACAAAGAGCACATAGTACTTAAAAGGACATTTTTCTTAGTGTGCTTATTAACAAAATGAGTTTCCTAATATTACCACATTAAACTCTGCTGCTGTGAACCTCTTTAAGAAAACTGTGCAAATTAAAATGTTTTGAAACAATAGATTGTCATTCTGTTCATCCCGAAACTCCTGGAAGCTGCTTAGATGCTATGAGCTAACACATTTTACACTTCCTAAAACACAAGACCCAGGGTGTGATAGTACAAATCAAGTTTGCAATTGTCTTCTGACTGTTAAAGTAACTTTACCAACACTGATTTCGTGTATTGAAGCTCAGAAGAATATCAGTTATCTTGGAAAAAACTGATGAGTGTCAATGTGACTGACAAAAATAGAAAATAATCAACAAATAGAATGTAATTAAAAAAAAATTACTCTGCACTAGTGTATCTACTTAAATATCTTAAGAAAAGAAAATGGCGGCAAGAAGACAACTTGGACATACCATTACAACAACAAATCTATCAGTAGTCGGTTCCGGTCCTATATGAGCTCCTGCCAATCAGATGAAAAAGGTTTGAATTTTTATAGCAAACTAGACAGGAAAAAACTAGAGGAAAAAAAAAAAGAATATAATCATTTAGCTAACCTGGGTAGTCACTTCTCAGCAGATGTTTTATAAATGTTGTTTTCCCAGTTGAGTACTGACCCAAAAGCATAACCATTGGCTTTGCGTCAAAATCACTGTTTGTCTGCAGAAAAATGAAAAACGAATCACCTCTCGTAGCATGGAATATAGCTTGCTTAGAGAAAGAAACCATACCCATTCTCTACAAATTATTAGTTTTAGAAAATGAACCAACAAGACAAAATTTAAGATAGCAGGCTAATGAAATTAGTAGATTTGCTCGATCCACTCACCAACAATGGAGATACAAAATCATTAAAACGATAGGTAACTTCCAGAGGCTTTAGCTTTTCAATATACAATCTCTTCAAACCATCTATTATTGATGTAACTGCACTTGGAGGTATCTGAAGGAAACAAACAAGAATTAGGTAACCCATCAGAAAATAAACTGAATTGCGGATATGTTCCTCAAAAAACATAGAAAAAGATGAGTGTAAAATCAAGAAGGAAATAAATCTACAGAATAAGCGACCTCTATTGCCTTGGTGGGTTAGAATACTCAAATAGTTAACTCCACAATAAAGGGTTAGAAGGTGGTCAAAATATGAAGGGAAAGAAAATGAAAAAGTCTAGGTTCCTCCATCACCAGACAATGAAACACGAGCCTAACCTTCTTTGTAGTTTTTGAAGTAAACCATTGAGTTGATGATGAGTTTTGTGGCTGAGCAGCTCCTGCTACAATGCAGTGGATTAATTTAGTAGAAAATGGCAAATTAAACCATGTGCAGTGCATGACAAAGAGATAGAGAATTGTCTGACCATTCATTCCAGACTCATGATTTGTTGTTGAGCTCTTATTTTTCTGGGAAATGAAAAGGAGAGCAAAAGGTTAATGAAATTAACAATTTCATCCCAACAGCAAAACCATGCAAATTTAAGGCAATGATTAAGAAATGCTTACAACTGCTAACTCTTCCATCCCTTCCATCAGTGGAAGTTGAATATCATCTATATTGACAACAAATAAGCCATGCATTTAAAATGGGAAAAAACAGCGAAAAGAGAAAATAAACGTTCATATTACATTTGAAGGACCAGAAAGTAAATCACAAGAATAGGTTTATTGTTAACTTTTCGAGGGTCACCACCAAAGAGGTTGAGATCCTCAAATTCATTGACATCCAGAGGAAATGAGTCTCCCACGCATATAGTCATGCTTCAACTCAATTCTAAATATCTGAGACCGAAGAAATAGGAAACAACTGTTCACACTTGCCTGAACTGCTGAGACCATCGGCTGTAATTTCGGTCCCTGCTTGTGCGAGAGAAATAAGCTGCAAATTCAACGGCCAGCCAAATGAAGTTTCATTTGAAGAAATCAGCGTAAGCACAATAGAAGAATACCGCGTGTCTTTTCACTACAAACCTGCATCGCAGTAATGAACTCTGCCAAACCTAAAAACCCCTGCCTCTTAGAATCTGCAATCGCCCAAACCTAGATGAAAAGAAGAAAAACATGAAAAGCATGAGTTTAACCAATCATAACCAATCATGTGCTATAGCGAAAAAATCCTACTAAAAAGAGAGAGAATCAGAACTCAGAAACAGTACAATTAGATCTCCATGATACGGCTAATCAGGTTACTGAACAGTGAATACACATGTTTAGGTGGAAAAAAACCGAAGCACACAAGCAGATTTAGTCCAAAAACAACTTTATTGATTATTAATCAACAAACCAAAAGTAAAGAGACATTGCTCCTAAAAACTAAACATATTGACTCAACATATATACTAAATTAATATGAAAATCGATCAAAGTCATAGTTCAGTTGGCCAAAACAAATACTAAAAGTGAAAGTAGAAAATCAACCAATAGCCTAAAAATGACCGAGTTTTCAAAGTGTTCAAGTACCTGCTTGAGTTCCTGCCGGGAGAGCTTCGACAGAGCAAAGAACTTCGTGGCATCGTTTCCAGTAACACGGCCATCTCCATCTAGTAAAGGCACGAATAAAACTTAATTAGTACTTTACGGTTAACCAATTAAACAAAGACGGAATGATTTTCAACTTTTTGTAGATTAATGAAGCTAAAAATAAACTGCAAAGCAAAGGAAAATGTTAACCTGAATCGGCGATGTTGAACCATTCCTTGTAGATCTTCTGATGCTCCTTCGAGCAAGTAAGGATCGGGCCTGGTGATATTTCCATGTGAACAGTGACAGAGAAGTTCAGTTTCAAATTCAGAAGTCCAAGGAAGAAGAAGAAGAAGAAGATAAATATGCTTTTGAAATTTGAAAGGGAAAATAGAAGAGAATTAATTAATGATCATTTTCATTTTCCTTTTTAGCTATTGGCGCTCGAGGAAATTGTTATTTCCAAGGTTCCATTTCATTTACATGCAAGGGAACGGTCTTTAAATACGACACCGTTCTCCCTCAGTTCTGTACTTTTCAAATCCGCGTTTAAAAGGAGGACCCATGTCTGAACCGCTCTTTCTCAGATCCAAAACGGCAGTGTTTTTCGCCCGTTGTCAAAGGAGTGAAAACGACATCGTCTGGTCTCTTGCTTAACATGCCCATTTGAATCGATGTTAAAAGAACGACATCGTTTTATGCTTCGTTTAACTATGTCTATTTGAATTGATTTTGAAGCCATGAGATTTTCATGCTTCGTCTTCAAGGAAATTTCAGAATTAGTCTGATAATGAGATGAACAAAATTATTATTATCCATAAACTGTAAATGGATATGTGGGCCTGTGATAATTCATGATTATGTTATAGATTTAATAATAAATATTAAAACAATAAAAAAGCAATAAAATACAAAGTCAACAATTAAAATACTATTTACCTTTTATATTTTTCAAAAACATATATTTTTAGTTTTTAATTTTGCTTTTATGAAAAAAAAAATATCGGGTAAAATTAAATTATGAAAGATATTTTTAATATAAAATATGATATTATATTTTATTAATTATGTAATAAATTCAATAATAAATGTTAAAAATAGCATTTGCTTTCTGTATTTAACAATGTAATTTTTTAACTTTTGATTTCATTTTTAATTAAAAGATGAAAAAACTTGTTAACTAATGTCATTGTATATAAGTATTTATGCAAGTATATCCCTGCATAAAAGATTAAGAAAATATAATTTTTTACATTATTTATTGGCAAAAAATTATATACACTGTTCTTTACATATTTATGAGTTACAATAACTGCCCTTACTTCCAAATAACTGCTCTACAGGAGCAAAAAGAGCTCTTGTTAAGCCCTAAGCTCTAACCTAATTTCAGCTTAGTACAGTCAGTCCAACAGATGGAGGAAAATGAATTTCAAGCAGCTCTCACCAAAGTGAAATTAAACCTGAAAGGAAAAGTTTGCAGTGAAATGTCATTTGCATAGGTAATAATGTGTAAATAATGTAGCAACTACCTATATTTACAACAAAATTGAATCTAATTCGATCGATATAAACATGAAAAATCACCTGATGACAGGCTTTTTTGCAGTTACGCATGCAGCAGACTTCGGTTGTTGAGTAGACTGTTTTTATTTCCCAACAGAAGAGAGAAAAACGAAGTCAGATGTGAGTCATCATATACGGATTTTGGGACGAGCTATAGTAATTGATCACACGACAAACGAAAACTGACACAGTCTGAACAAAATGATTTACTATGCATCCAACCAGCAAAAAGAAAAAAGAAGAACCAATTTAGATCCAGCAGCCTTAAAGTTTTTCATGAAATCTGATTTCACCCATCTTTGTTTATTCCCATTCTGTTATTATATTCCGTAAAATTGATTGCTTAACATGTAGTTTGATCATAATTTTCATATATAATTTACAATCCAACGATTTCCGATTCATTTATTTGACGTTAAACTGATAGCTGGCATGTAGTTCGATCATAATTTTCATAATTCAACAATGTGACTACTTTTAGGTAGTTTTTTGAAGTGATGTAGGATAGAAACTATAAATTCTCCACATTTGAATTGAACATTGAGGTCTCCTTCCAAAATTTTTCTTATTTCTACTTTCTTCTTATTCCTATTTGGTAGAACTAAAATTTTGAGCAAAAAGTAGCAAAAAAATTAAATTATTTAAACAGAAAATTAGTTTTGTTCACGTCAAAACAGTAAGAAAGTTTGCTGGTACCTCAAGTTCCTCTGGTTCTGTGTTCTTCAAAATATTAGAGCATAGGCTGGCTCCTTTCTCTGCAGTTCCTTCTAACGTTCTAGTCAATGACTCCGACAAATCCACTGTACAGCTTGTAGCAAAATTCTGGACTTGAGTTCTTGATCCTGCATCATCTTTCACCTTCTCAACTTCTTTAGAGGAAGCTTGCTGGCAAGTAAGCAAAATCTTCTCTGCTTCAGATGAACCAGATAAAGCGCTCATCGAGGTCAGGCATTCAGCAGAAGAACTACCAACTTTGAGATGTTCTACAGGAACACCATGAGCAATATCCAAGTAGCCATTTCCATTAACTTCACATCCCCCTCTTGGTATAGCCTCTTCTACCAATTTTGCATCTTCATTTTTTGTTGCAAAGTCAGATTTTCTCAAATTACAGCTGGTACTACCTTCATCACGCTTTCTTTTCTTCCCATTAGCAGCCCCATAAACCTTTTTGGTCTTATTTATTGGCTGCACCCCACCAGGGAAGACAAAATCAGGGATGTTTCTGCGTGTTGTGTGACTTATTGTGATCCCCATTCCAGGTTTCCATAAGGTAAAAGTTCGCAGACAGTGCTTAAATTCCTCAATGGTTAACCTTAAGTCAAAATATTGACCTTCCTGAACAGAAGTTTCTTGTCTCCTTATACCCATGAAGTAAGAACTGTTGAATGACCTTGATTTGTCTGAGAAGTTGCCCGGGTGAGGACAGCATTGAAGCGTTGCACATGTGTTCCTCTCAATCTAGATTAAAAATTATACATAACAGTGAGAGATAATATAAAGGTTTGAACAGCCTAACAGAAAGAAGCAAGAGAAATTTTCCACCTTTAGAATTAATAAACGAAGCCGAGATTCAACCCAGCCTTTCCAGATCTTTAAGTCATCATCGTTCCTGGCAGTCACGTCTATATGCAGATAATTCTTGAATGCTTCAAAAAAAGGGAAAGGCTCAAAGAGAGTAGTCCAACAAGTTTCCTTTGCTGCCAGAGCCTATGATTATTGTACAAATAGGAGGTTAACAAGTCTTGCTAAAAGACTGAATGATATAAATTATAAGCAACAATATGTTCAGACATGAAGAGTATTACAACTAAATGGAACTGAAAGGTGCAGAAATGGTAAAAATATAAAATTATATTGAGTAGCAGAAGCAAAATGAAAACAAACAGCTCATGTTTAACACAGACAACAAAAACAGTATAGTCTAGGATTCCATAATATTGTAACATACCATAGGAAAACCATACCTCACAAATTTCATTGCCCCTCTGAAATTCTTTTTGCATGATGCCAAACGTGCTTGATGATACATTGTAACTCGAGTTCATGCATGGATACGCAGGAGTTATTATCGGCATTAAATGTTTCCTGTCCTGGAGATTTCTTGTTGGATCCCAAACTTTATGACTGAGGCTTCCTTCTTGTATAGGGCACAGCATGACTGGATTAGGCCACCGCCATTGTGAGAAGACTTTGAAGAACTTGGAAATCAAAACACTGGGAAGTGCATTTGGGTAGAGTTGGCAGACACGAGCAACTAGCAATGCCCAATTTATTCCACCAAGAAATCCTATGACCTGATGGATACTTATAAAAGTGAGTGCAAACATCTAACTAAGAACCCCAAAAGGGGGGAAAAATAAGATCAAGCTAAAATCTTAACCATATGATTAAATTTCCTTACATTAGAATAAATTCCACGCTGCTTTGCCCAAAACTTCACACATCTCAAGGTAGTACGGAAATTCTGGATGGAACAACATCAAAAGACAAATAAGTAAACCCTATAAACCTTGATTGCATATCAGGAAATAACAAATTTATGTATGCTACCCATGCCTGTTTTGCAACAGCTCTACCTGAATGTTTGGAACCAATCGCAAAATCTGGTCAGTGACCCTGCATCCATTAAGGCTGCGTATTGTCTGCTCATCCACATTTCGTAGTATTGAATCATAAGAAATATCCAAGTCCTGCAACAGTAATGTACAAAATGATTCATGATCTAAATTATCAAACTAGTAAGAAGTTTACGAAAGAGGACATGTATTTAAATTCAGCAGAAGTCAAATAATGAAAGAAACCAACTGATTTATATTAGATAACAGAAGAATAGAAAAGTAAAGTGACCCCCAGACAGGATAATCATAACTAAGTTGACAGGGACTTGTTTAGAGAAGCACTGAAAACAAAAGCAGTCAAATGAAAATAAACTATTTTTGATCAAATACTCAGAGAGTTTGTAGCTCATCCAAATATGGATCCACC